AATAAGCATATGTCAATTCCCTATTGTAACATTTTTGAAATGATTATCATGTTTCAACCTTCCTGTTTTTTTCTCTTATCTTTCAAAGTTTGCAAACTTGAGAAACAGGTAAAAAGAAAGGTTCTCTCAATTGGAAGCATTGATATGATATAATTTTAGGAACAACAAGAGGTTTGGCTTATCTGCATAAAGAATTTCCTATTCGTATTATACATAGAAATATCAAGACTAATAACATCCTCTTAGATGATGATCTACAACCTAGAATTGCTCATTTTGGTCTAGCAAGACTGCTACCGGAGAACATATCTCATGTAAGCACAAAAATGGCAGGAACATTGTAAGTCAAAACAACTATATATACACCTTAGCTTGAATACTTCAATGAATTCATATAAATGTCAAACATGTCACAAAGATTTACATCGCATATGTCCATTTCATATTTTTGCTGGGTCATAACATATATGTTTTCACTTGAGCTCTTGCTTATGTCTAATTAATATATATTATACATGTATTATATGGAGGATACACAGCACCAGAGTACGCAATTTATGGCCATTTATTAGAGAAAGCCGATATTTATAAGTATGGTATTGTAGTTTTAGAGATCATTAGTGGTCAAAAGTGCAGAGAATTAAACCTTGATGAAGAAGATGATGAAGGGGCATTCCTTTCTCTAAAGGTAAGTTTACTTTGATCATTTGAAAGGCAGTTGTCTTTTGTGATAATTTATTTGTGGTATCTATTCTAACAATATGGTTTTTCCCCCCAAAAAACAAGCTATTTCTTTTTGACAAACATTGTAATTTAATATTAAAAATAGATAGGAGTGCACATATGGCAATCATTAATATCTTTTCAGTTTGGTCGTTAATTTTATAAAACATCTTTTCAATATCCTGTCCCTAGTATCATCAATATTAAATGACGACATTTCGTACCAATTATTATTATTTAAAAAAATTAAACTTGATGTGTCAATACGTGAGGATATTTCTTAAACTTTCAAAATTTTCATGCAAACTTTTTTTCGCTAATAGCATTAGGATTAGATGATTGAAAAGAAATTTTATAAAATTACGAGATCGAAAAGAAATTTTATGTGAAGTTAAAGGATTAAAGATATATTTTTGCCATAAAAACAGGAAAATGGCCTAATTTTTTGGTTGTATTTTTCTGCTCCTTTTATTTCACTTCACTTTTGTTCACCTTGATATCTATAGGCTTGGAACTTATACGAGAAAGGAAGGCATTTAGAGTTGGTCGACAAAACAGCAAACCCTAATGGATATGATGCAGAAGAAGTAAAGAGAATCATAGAGATTGGTTTACTTTGCACCCAAGCATCTGCTGATACCAGACCAATGATGTCTGAAGTAGTTGCTTTGCTTCAAAACAAGGATTTATTAGACAACATAAGTCCCACTATGCCTATCTTGATAGAAACTAATTAGAGATCTACGGGAGACTTCTTTAAAAATGCAGTTACGGGTGACTTAATTGGGAGTTTGGATCATCACAAAAATTAAAAAAGAAAGCGTAGAAGGAGGAGAAGAAAATGGAAAATGATTGTGCTTCATTCCATTCTTGAATAAGATCAGTGCATAAGGATACCTCGATCTTGGAAATTGTTTGCTGATTGATTATTAGAGTGTGTTCGGTAAATAACATTAATAATCTCTCTTAAAGTTTGGTTGAATTACGTCTATTATTCTTTTCACTTAAAGGGTTGGCATCAACTATCCAATCTTATTGTTCACTTGGAGATAATATTTCTACATAATGTGACTTCTTAAATGATATTACTTATATACAGTCACATTATGAAATAACAATCTCGTATTGGAGTTTAACACTATCTCAATTACTCGTACAATCATGTCAAGAATAAATTATATTAAATGTGTGTTGATGAAAGAAAAGGATGAAAACAATTTTTGGAGTCTATTTTCGATATCGTATTCCCATCTCTTTAAATCTGTTTAATTCTTGACCAAAAAGAAGCTCATTATAGCTGCAGCAGCTAGCTTATTTGCTTCGTTCTGGATTCTTCAGTCTCCTCTTTAAATTTGATCCCTGCAGATTACTTTGCTTAGAACGTATGTGTTTTGATAGAAGAATCCACTAATTCGCGGTCGCAAAAGTGTTTGTTTTGATTGCTTATCTAAGCTCTGAGGTCTCGAAGTGTTATGTTTAAATTGTCACCGAAGATAGATGTTAACGTACACTTACAGAAGTTATATATTTACTGAACATATAGTAATTCATGAACGAATATTAAGAAACCATTTTTCCTCCCCCCTTGAAACTTCCCTTCCTCCAAGTTCTTTCTTGCTCTTCCTAAGTTCATCGTATTTTCATTAATTTCATTAATTTATTCTATTTGTGCCCATAGAATGACTACAAAAGAACCACACTCTTAAGAGAGCTTAAGATTTCATAAGGCTCTTTTTTCAAAGTAATCCTCCCAACACAGGACACAATTCACCATCCTCATCAAGAGTTGATGTCCTGATGGCTTCACTGTCGGCCAACTCTTAATGAAAGAATCAATGTAACGAGTATAAATTTTTAAGAGAACCAGAGTCCAAAAGTTAGCTGTTGGAGTTTGAGAGCCTAATGCCTTATATACAGCCCATCTTTCAAGGCAACCGCCCCAATGTGGGACTTGTGACAATCAATTTTATACCCTATTTATTTATTTATTTATTTTAAATCAAGCGTAGGACATATGCTAATGGTTCCTATAAGGGTAACAAACTCAATTATTTTTATATATTTTGATATCTTTTATATGAGTTTTGTCAACTTAATTAGTCTTTTTGGCCTTAATTGATTATTAATTGATTTAATATGTTTTATTTTGAATTATTATTTTTTAGAGGCAAAATTGTCATATTTTGATTTAATTGTGACTCATTGATTTTTGAGGACAATTAATGCTACCTTATCCTTGAATTTTGTTTGCAGGTTTTTGGAAGATTTAAAAATTAAAATTAAAATTAAAAAAAAAAAAGAAAAAAAAAAGAAAAAATATAATTAAACAATAATTAAAAAAAAGGGGAGCAAAACGCAACGTTTTGCTCCCCCAACCTAATATTCATCTTCTTCATTCGGTAGCTGAAGAGGGGGACGGGCGGAGGCGCAGTTGGAGAAAAAAACAGGGGAGGCGCGGCGGAAGCGAAACGCGAGGAGGGCGACGCTGAATGAGCTGGGACGGCGCAAGTCCAAGGAGCATTCGTCATTCTTCTCTGTTGAACCTTCCTGGTGGCAGGGATTTCGCGACAGCAGGGGGCGAACCAGCAGCACAAAGGAACAGAGGACAGTGGTGTGAACTGAGACGCACACGAGCAGACAACGAATCAGAGGGAGAAAACGAACAGCTCGACGGTGTTCTCTTCATTCACCATTCATCTTCTCTGCGTTTTCTCACTGGTGGCAGAGAGAAGATAGCGAGAGAGAACAGAACAGAGTCTTGACGGAGGCAGAAGGAAAAAAAACAGAGAGACAAAAACAGGGAGCTGACGGCAGACGCGAGAGAGAGGCGAGGGAGCTGAGTGAGGTCCAGAGCTCAACGATGCAAGAAACAGAGTGACGGCATTATTCATCTTCATTCTTGAACTAGAGGACGCACACACAAGGACCTGGGACTCACGTGAACAAAGTGAGGAGACGACGCGAGCAGTGAAGCAAACAGTGGAGGCAGATACGAGCAGGAGCTTGAACGGCGAAATGATACCTCCAGATTTCATCTTCCATTGGCTCCTTCACTGTTGTTCTGCTATGGTTGTGATTATTGAAGCATACGGTGGAGCTTCAGTAATGCAGGGACTTGGCTAAATCCTTCCAATTCCCTAGAGCAATGGTTATGGCTTGAACTTAGAGCTTCAAAGGGGAGTTTCAACTCTTCTAATCTTTACTTCATTCATTATAATTGTGATTTTTAGGTCTTAAAATGAATTTTATAATGTTTGAATGGGCTGTGATGGTTTATATTTGTATTGAGATTGGTTGTAGTTGTTGGAATCTTTGATTAGCATTTAACATTATGTTGTGATTAGCTTTAATTTCTTAACATTATTGTGAATATTCAGTGGTAATTCAAGGTGGCTTGGTTATTGGACTAAAAATGTTAATTGCTTTTCCTTGATTATTTTTGGCTAATTGTGCTAAAACAGTTTAATTGTGAGTAATTAATATGCAAGGTGGCTTGGTGTTGATTATTTTAATTAAACTGAGTCTAAGGGATGGCCCTTAGAGTCTTTTGAATTTAGCTAACTTCCAAATTAATTGAAGTAATGATATCCTAAATCATTGTGCTAGAGGATTGCTTTTCCATTTGTTGTCACTTGGTAATTCTCTTTGTTTATCTCATTCATATCCATTTTATAAACTAAAAATCCAAAAATTATTTACTCATTTTGCATCCTTTTAAATTTTGCCAATTAGTTAGTTAAAAAGAAAATCAATCCCTTTTCAAGTCAATTCTTTATTTTTGATACTTAGTTTGCTTAGGATTTTAAATAAAGGCTCCTCAAAGTGAAACGACTCGAGTTTTGTACTATATTGCATTGCTTGGATTTATTTTTGATTGGGAACCCCAAGGCGAACGACAAAGGCTCTCATCAAAGCGTCAAACACATCTTGGGCATGCATCTTATATATCACTTCGATCTTTATTATAAATCACTTATAGAGAAAATTCTGTCCTAAATATAAGTCATTTGTAAGATATTTAATGATTCTTTTTTAATTTTATTTTTATTCAATTCTCGTTGGAAAGAGATAAAGAAAAGAGAGAGATAAGAATGATTTGTAAATATATATGTAGAGAGAAACTACTTTGTATTATGTTGATAATGGGGCCTACCATACCTCTTTCGCTCACATGTATTTCACATGTACTAGCTTCAAAGTTCAAACCGAGGGTTTTTTTTTTTTGTTGGTAATTTTTGTATATCTTTTCCGAAAATAAATACCAAAAACAGGGCAAAAAACCAAAAAGGCTCAGAATTTATTTCACACAATAGGCCAAGGATGACCTCACTTTCACATACACTTCTACCCACAGAAACAGAATTGACGTTTCATTGCACACAGATCATGAATCATGAAATTACGATGAACCCTACACGCTATTTCCTTGATCATTACTACAACACTTACTTCAGTTGAAACTTCGAGTGACCCTTGACATCAAGTTCTTGCATAATGCAATCAATCACCTTCCAGATAGAACAATAGTGGAGGCAGTAGCATTTGATGAGGATGAATTGTTAGAGGTTGAAGAGTCCCTTCTGGGATTAAAATTAGGATCCACATAGACTGGCATAGTGGGTCTTCTGTTCTCCATTAATCCTTTGCCTTTGAGCATAATTACAATTTCAGACATTGTTGGCCTCGCTGCAGGAGATGCTTGAGTGCAAAGCAAAGCAATCTCTATGATTTTCTTCATTTCTTCTGGATCATACTCATTAGGGTCTAGGGTTTTGTCCACAAACTCAATGTGCATGCCTCTATCATAGAGTTTCCAAGCCTGCCAGTTTGAAACAAAGTGTTAGTTATGTGACTGTAAAATATGTTATTTTTTATGTTATATTATTGGAGATCACGTAGCTAGACACTTTAAATTGTACTTCCATATTCTAAGATAAAGAGCACTTTTTTGTTATATTTGTTGAGAATTTTCTTACTCTTTGAAGGAGGAATTCTCCTTCGCTCTCATCCTTTGATTCACCGCTCTTGTGTCCACTTATGATTTCTAGGACTACAACACCGAAACTATAGGTATCGGCCTTCTCTGATAGTTGTCCATGCATTGCATATTCAGGTGCTGTATATCCCCTAGCAAAAACAAAATATTTATGGTATAATGGATCAAATCAGTCATGTAAAAATGACATACAAAACATTGAAACTTGTATAAGCATATACTTTTACTTACATTGTTCCTGCAAATTTCGTGTTGAGATGAGATAAGTCATGCGGGAGAAGCCTAGCTAACCCAAAGTCAGCAATTTTTGGTTGAAAATCATCATCCAAAAGAATGTTACTACTCTTTATATCCCTATGTATGATACATACATGGAATTCCTCATGTAAATAGGCCAAACCTCTTGCTGTGCCTAAAATTACATTATAACGTTGCTTCCAGTTGAGGGAGCCTTTATTTTCTCCTGTTTTCAACAATTTAGAAATTATTAAAAGATGAAAAGAAAAGTTTTAAAGATGATTTTCAAAACGATTCAAGAAATTCATTGTAAGTGTTTAACTACGCTATGTTATGATATACAAACTGGTTAGTTGTATATAATGCTGTTGTAAAGAAGTCAACATGCTTATTTGTTGAGAAACATATTTGTATATCATACTTTAAAAAAGGCCATAAACATTTTTAAAATATTATTTAAATTTTGCCTACCAAACAAGAATGTGCCAACATTGTTGTTTCTCATGTATTCATAAACAAGCAGCCTCTCTTGTCCTTTAGTGCAACATCCAAGAAGTCGGACAAGATTCCGATGATGGACGTTACTTATCAACTTTACTTCACTCTCAAAATCTTTCTCCATCTGTTTGGATTGCCCTAAAGCCAATTTCTTGACAGCAACTACCTTCCCATTTTTTAGAGTGCCCTATTCAACAAAGATACGTTATAAATAATAGGTCATGCTTATTGAAGTTGTAACAATCCATACAAATAAGTAAATGAATAGAAGTCAATCATAAAGTAAGAACTATTGTACTCTTCTTGTCCTTAATATAGGACCCAATTATTGATTTCATTTTGGTCCTAAATATAAGATCCATTTCTCATATTTATCAATTTTCTCTAAATTACCCCTATGGATACTTTCTCAACCATAATCAAGTAGGAGAGGAAGAAGGGGTATTAAGAAAGATGATTATGGTATTTTAGAAAAAATGTGTTATATTTCTTATAATTAACTAACTTACCTAATTTCCTTAATCTAATCAAATTAGTTAAATGGGTCTTATATTAAGGACCGGAGGAGTAGTATTCTTTGAACCTTGTTCACAAATATTAAGGAACCTACATAGACAGAATCAAATACAAAATTCCTCTATGCAACTCGTGTCGTCCTCTTCTATATCTTAAATCAGATCCATTATTATTAGTTAGATTTTCATGGCTATGAAATACATTTCATATGTTAATAAAAATGGTTCCATTAGATGAAGCTCATATCTCAGCTGTTGAATCAAGTAAACTAATTAACCAGATTCGGACAGCAAGGACAGCACGATTTTGGAAAGGAAAAGATGCAGATCCATGAAACACGCTTAGAATCAATAATCTATTTTAAAAAGGGATCAGTCGATTATAATATTGAAGACAAATATTTATAGGATTTACCTTGTACACATCACCGAAGCCTCCTTCTCCTAGTTTATTTTCTTTACTGAAATTCTTTGTGGCCTTCTTAAGATCGCTGTACCTATAATTAATTGGGCCTTTCAACTCAGTTGCTCCTAAAATATCACCTGTAAGAAAAACCAGATAAAAAACCTCACAATAAATAATTAAAATCAGCAAGGGATTCATCTTCATAATTTAATTTATATAGCATTTTCCTTTGGAGCAAACTATATATATCACTGAAAAAGACAAAGCATAAATAAAGTCTTTCCAAGTTGTCTTATACCTCTATGAATCCTCTTGGACGACGTTGATCGTCTGTACAAAGCAAATAATGCAAGGAGGATCAAAAGAAAAGATCCACCTCCAACCACTCCCCCAATAATGGCCTTCTTCTTCGTTGAAGCTCCCCCTGCAAGTCACAAGAAAAGAAAATAAACACACACAGACACAGACACAAGTAAATCTCACTGGAAAGTAATTCCAAGCTTTTATAAGTGTGTGTGTGTGTGTATACCTTCTTTCAGGAAGGGATTAATGTTAATGGTTTGATTATCTGCAAAGAAGGCCGTGGTGGAGTATCTCATGAAACAACCAGCATCATAAGTCTTAGCATTTGAATTGGGAAGACAGATCTGGAAATTTCTCAAGGCAATGTTGAGGCAATCCTGGCAGCCAACTTGTGGGAGAGTCTCAATACATTGAGCAATGGCATAAATGCTTGAGCCATTACTGTTAGGCACAGGCGTCTTAGTGGCTGCATAAAAACCACTGATTCTTGGGGTTGCTATGTCCAGATTCGTTAGAACTTGTTGCACAGTTGAAGAAAGTCCTGTGGTGTTTCTGATCGTCTGATTCCCGCAGATTATGTTGTTCCCAGCGTCTGTGTTCTGATCGAAGAATCCACTGCTCTCGTACCTTTACACGATACAAAAAAGGAAACACAAAAGTCATGTAATATCAATTATATCTATATCTCTGCTACCATCATATAATAATAATAACGACAACTATTTCTCTGTGTATTTCTGTATCATGTAATAATTATTTTATTCATTAAATCGAACTTTTTCTTCCTTAAGGACACAATGAAGTTTTTGTTTCCCCCCCCCCCGGTTTATTCAAGTGAGTATGTGGCGTGATAACGTGGATGCTCTATACAAAATATCTAAACTCATTATTGATTAAAAAATTACACGTGCCATAAAGCCTGTTTGGGGTTTTTTTTTTTTTCAAAATTCTCCCTTTTAAAGGGACAGATTAATTACAAGGAATTTCCTCTATTATAAAAAGTAAATAAATTCTATAAAATGAAAATTTCAAAAAACAATATATCTTCTATTCATGATGTAACTAATTACATCTAAATATTAATCTTTGTTTAAGCATGAATGAACAATTTATCATTTTATCTTTTGCCTGTTTTAGTACTGTCTATATTTTCTCGGTCCCAGATTGTGGACGCACACGCGCATTCATATTTTATATGTGTGTGCCTGCCTATATATATAAATATATCCGAGGAAAAGAATATAAAAATTATATGAAACAGTAATTTTTTTTTTTGGTCATAGCTCATGCGTCCATGTATTTTTAAGTTTTAACTCACAATCTCATATTTAAAAGATCTTACAAAACGGTGTTTGACATCAGTTGGATTATAGGACCATGACGAAACAGGGGAGTACATCCAAATTGATGTTGGATGGCTTAGACTTAATTTAAATTTTTTTATATATTATAATTAATTTTTTGTTTTAATAGATATAGAATTTAAAATAAAGATAATCTTATAACTAACCCTTCTTTAAAAAATAAATTTATCATTAAAAAAATTGCATATTAAAACTTTCAAACTTAAACCATCCATATCAAATTTTGGATAATCTATATTGTGTCAGTGATGAGCATACGGTGTTCATGATTGTGATGAGTATTGATGAACACACAGCAGGATTTATTAACTATGATAAGGGGACTTATTTATTTATAAAAATCACATGTTTAGTTTTATAATGAAAGTTGAAAAAAAAATGTTATATCTATATCCCAATGATGTAGTATGAAAAAAAAAAAAAAAACAAGAAGAAGTCAAATTTAGAGTTGTACCTGAGGAAGCAACCTTCGTAGATGATACGAGCACCGGTGGCGGCGACGGAACAGTTGCGTATATGAACCTTCGCGAAGTCAAAACAAGCAAGGCAATCTTTGATGGAGAGGTAGTTTCTGCACTGAAAAAGGCCATACGCCGGATTGTTACCCTTCACGGCCTGCGCCGTCGCGAAGTGCTTGCTCTGGTTGCTGATCTGAGCTCTTAGGTCTCTCAGTGTTATGTTCAAGTTATCACTGAAGATGGACAACTCACTAACGTTGTACTGGCTACACCCTAGTTTCACAAAGTTGGTCTGTGGTTCCGAAACGACGCCGTCAAAGCTCCACCATGACCAGATTATCAAACTCAAGAAGAAGACAAAGTGGGGTTTCTGTTGCAGGTGAAGCAACATGGTGTTCTTTCTCTGTAGTTGCAGAAGAGAAAGAAAGATTTAAAAGAGAAGATGCGAAGTGAATGAAAGGTGGGATACTATATATATAAGTATTGTGTATGTGTTTGTATATGTGTATGTATGTGTATGTATACGTGTATGAAGACGATCATGGTGAAAGTTGACCAAGGGAAGAGTGAATAGTCTGTGTATAGCAGAATAATGAAGAATCCGACGTGTGCTATATTCTGTGTTTGAATTCCATTAACTATTATTTTAGCTTTCGGCAGCAGCCGGGAACCTCAATAAAATACTGGCCATACCCCTTAACATAATATCTAATTAACCTTAATAATGAAGAATCCGACGTGTGCTATATGCTATAAAAATATGTGTTGGTTTTTCTAAAATTTTTCATGAAATCATTTGCATTGAAATTACTTTTTAAAGCAAACTCTCTTAATATTTGCGACCAATTGGGATAATCTGAAAAGAAAACGATAAATACGAGGGACAATCCACACCTAATTCTTAACTTCTTATATTACATACTGGAGGTAGTATATCAATTCTAGTCTTTAACATAACAAAGTTAATTAACTAATTTTAGTAAATTAAGAAAGTTAAATAAAAAAGTTAATTATAACAAACACGACATGATCTTTGTAAAATGATACTGCTTAACATTGGATTATATTAGTTTATGAGTTATGTAAATTAGCTTAAAAACAGATGATAAACACAAGAGATAAAATAAATTAAAGTTTTATATTATAGAGCAGAACTAATAACAGTTTTCTATAGGCAAATTGCAAATATAGCCACATTTATTTTTGGACTGACTTTATTAGCCATTTTGGGTAACTACAATAAAATTGTGAAAATATCTCTTAATATTTTAATAATGATTTGTAAATCACGTTCTCAATTTAGAATAGAAGTTTTATAAATTTGTACAACTAAGTTAGATTAAATCATAATTTATCATTTAAATAGGCAATTATGGTTTTGCATGTCACCACCGATGCAGACATCTGATCTGTTGGGAATATTGACCTAGAAATGTACTTCCCATGTTAGGGGCCCTCTTCCTTAAAAATTGTTGCGTGGTATGTATATCAGTATATGTTATTTTTTTTAAAAAAAATTAAAATTAAAGATACTAACTTTGAATTTAATTTGTTGTGACTGGTGGTGGGTTTTCTCAAACATACAATTAAGACTCTCAAAAAATAGTTTTTTTTCAAAATTAAAATTCTTCATATCAAAAAGAAAAAAAAAGGTGAAAATATATATTCCATAGTATAGAAAAAATGTATAGAAACGTACATAATTTATATTTATCTTTCAATTTTGTATAATAATGTAAAGTCCATATATACATCGTTGAACTTCAGGAACCTAGAGGCTCCAATTTTTGATCTAAATTCGTGTTATTAATCTATAGTTAGTGTGTGTCCATTTATACCAAACCTACATAATTCATAATTTTCTTTTTTGCCATCATAATTTATGAATCATATGACTTCTCAAACTCTACATAAAACACTATATGCATTTTTTCTTCTCTTATTTTATCGTGGTTTTTAGCAATGCTCTTTCCTTAATAAAAAAGGAGGGGGAATATCACAAGATAAAATATGATTTTGGCGTATCAAGGGGGAGGGGAAAAAGAAAGATAAAGATGATTTTTTAAATGCAAACTACGCGACAAGATGCTTAGGTAGTAGTAGGTTTTTTTTTTGTTCTTTTCAATTTTCCAACCGTTTAGAAAATTAAATTTTCACATTCACGGAATGAATTTTAAAATATAAATTATATCATTCATGACCTGTTAATAACATAATTTATTGCTAATTTTATCATATAAATTGAATATTAACGGGGATGTCTCTATTGAATTAATTTTTTTATTTTATGCATGTAAATATGCCTGGACTCGACCTTAGAAAATAGCTTACATAATAAGGATCTCAACTCAAGCCTAAATGTGAAAATTCTAAACATTATAAAAATTATAAAAAGGCCAACTTGTTTTTTTTATTTTTATTTATAGCCTCTATTCCAACTTGTATTTTTTAAAGCCTCCGTCTACAGCGAGGAATTCGAAATAATTACCTATTTAATACTCTAACTCTAACGTTATCTATTTGGCAAATACATGACTTTATAATGACTTAGCTTTCCACATTTTTGAATCAAAATCCATAATAAGTCACTGGTAAGAGATAAGATTCAACTTTATAAACGACAATGAAAGCTTTGTTTTTCTTGCCGTTTACTTTGAAAAGAATCCCTTCCACACATACCTACGGCGCCATTTTTTCAATACATATAAACGGCACCGTGAAATAATAATCCTTTTTTATTTTGCTTTCATAATGCCTGAGCTATATATATAAATTATTGTATTCTTCCAATTAATGTCCAACCTCTCCACAAGCTGTTATTCTAAGTCAACTCTGTATGAGAAGTCAAACTTTTGGAATATTCATAAAATATTTAAATATAATGTATTTGAGAAAGATAAATATGTCATAAATAAGATACAAATGACAAGGACACCTAAATTCCCGTGTTCATTGGCAAACCTTTCTTAAAGAGAACAGTCATGCTTGCCTTTTTTTTTTTTTTTTGGGCCTAAATTGCTATTGGCTACTTAATAAATTCAAAAATAATTACTCCTGGTGTTCTTATCGCCGTAATGATCTCTCTTACATCTCTCTTGCATGTTTTATAATATAATATAACATGTTTGATTTAAAATATTCAGTCTGTTCACGTAGAATTAACTAAATAACCAAAATCCTTCAATTAATTATTTTTATTTTATTAAAGGTAATTTCGGAATTTAACCAGAAATAAAAACTAAATTCAATTAATTATCTTGACCACTTACATAGGGTAGTAAATTAATTACAACTTATAGCAAGAACAAGAGAGAGTAATTGGGGAGAAGTAGCTCTGTCGTATTGCTCCCTTGCTTTATCTTATACTCTCTTCGGTCCTATATATAGTATTTTTTCGCATAAGGTTGATTCTATATGTAAGCAACATTTCATGTTTGTCAAAAATGTAATGCACTTTTCCTATTTTTTACCTCAATCAATTGCGTGTTCCTTTCTTCTTCGTCTTTTTTTCCACGCATTTTCTCTCATCTCTTTTCCAATTCATACTCTCTCTCACTCATCATCTTCATAAATAATGACATACTTAGGAAAAAAATTATTTTTTTACATATTTATTGGTTTTGGCTAATTTTGTTGGCAAAATTTTTTTATCTAATTTTGACCAATATTTTGATCCGTGTAATATGGTTAGTTGTTGCTTCTATATGTACTCCTCAGTCCTCTTAAGTCTATTATAAAGCAAAAAGAGGATAATTTTTTTTTCTAATGTCACGTATTTAAATTTTTTTACACCAATGTATTACTTTATCTTTAATTTATCATTGTTGTTTTGTAGATTGTTATTTTCTTGAAAAGTACATACATCAAATGGGAATAAAATTGAAAAGTTATTTAGATTTAAAGAAGAATTAATTAGGTTGAAATTTTCTCCTAACGTCAAGTGAAACATGTTAAAAATGAATTGATAAGTGTGAGAGAGAGAGAGAGTGTGTGTGTGTGGGGGATTGGTCATTGGAGGAAGTATCAAGCAATATTTCTGGTAAAAAAAGCAATATTATAAACTAATTAAATTACAATATTTTTAATTTTAGTGATAAAAGCATCGAGTCAAAGTTGATTGATTTGATCACAATTAAAATAATTGTAATTAAATTAACATTTTGGCCAAAAAAGTAATTTATTAGTAAAATTAAAAAATAATCTTGTCAATGATTCTAAACTAGTATATTTTTTACTGATCGATCGACTTTTCACGCACAACGAAAATTAGATCTCAGTGTCTTGGCTAAGCATTGACTTTTCTTTTTCCCCTGTTAAGATGCGTGGCTTTGTCTACTAATGGAAGCACATTGAAGACCCATTGGTCAACTTGATGTATGGATACATGTTCCGATGGTCAACAGCTAAAAAAGAGATAAAACTGTTGGGAATTTACAATTTTATAATTTGAAAACAGAAATAACCCCAATTCCCCATGCACATTTATTAGTGAACATTTTGGGAGCCTTGCCTATGAAACAGAATCTATCACTATTATAGTAAACATTTTTTATCTTTATTCTGAATGACCTTTTACCTCTGTTTTGAGTCTGTTTTTGAAAATTAACATTTTTTGTTGGACTGGAACTGATTTAAGAATCCTAAATCACTTATATATATATAAGATATATATACATATAAGAAAATCCAAAAAATGCTTCATACTTATTATCATTACCTAAATACCTCCTCAAGGAGAATTATAAATAAAAACATAAATCCAAATCACAACGTACACACAATAGGAGTATATTAAAAACAAGTGTTATATAAGTACTCAAAAGACAATAATAATGTCAAATCATACTAAAATAACATAAAAGTATCTAATACTATTTTCGGCCCTCAATATAAAAACTAGTTTGATATTCATTTTGGTCTTAAATATAAGATCCTAATTCCCTTTATCTCTCATATCCATTTTTTCTCAAGATAGTTCTTGTAATAGTTACACATGTTAATTAAATATTTTATCAAATGATAACTCTAACTAATAAACATAATTAGCAAAGATATTATAGGGAAAAAGACACATATTTATTATAAATAACTAACTTAACTAATTTTTTTAATTTATTAAAACTAGTCAACTAACTCTTATATTTAAAATTAGAGGCAATACAAGTAAAACCACAATAAACCTATACTAGTGTAAGTGAAACCATATTTTGAAGCTTTTGATACTTCTAAGAGAAGATGTTGTTCCCACAAGTGCTAATAAATATTGTATAAACAGACAAGAATGCCTTTTATTTTCTTGTTTATTTTTTTAAAAAAAAAAGAGATGAGAATAGTGACTTTTCTCTTCAAAAAATAGACGAAAGTAAGAGAGATAAATGGTGTTTTTTTTTATGTAGTCTATAAAATAGGCCAGAT